TGCAGCAAGTAGGGGCTCCTCTTAGTTGTGGTGCAGGGGCTTCGCACTGTGGTGGCTTCTCATTGCTCTCTAGTTGCTGAGCACAGGCTCTAGGCACATGGGCTTCAGTAGTTGAGACACGCAGGCCCAGTAGTTGTGATGCACAGGTTTAGCTCTCCTGTGGCGTGTAGTATCTTCCTGGACCAGGGATCAAACCCGTGTCCCCTGCATTGGCAGGTGAATTCTTATCCACTATACCACCAGGGAAGTCCTCAATTATATTTTTTAATGGTTTATTTTATGTTATGTGGATCTCATGTCAATACAGAAAAGAAGAAAAAATAAAGACTTTTGAGACAAATAGAAGCAGAGATGATTCATTGCTGATTGACATGCACTGCAATAAAGGAACTTCCTCAGCAAAAGGAAAGCAGATCAGATAGAAACTTATTTTCATTTTAAAATTTCTTCAGAAGATAATTGAACTTCCAGTTTCAGCTCTGACATTTGAAGAGCTTGGAAATCAGCTCTCCTGTCTTCAACAACAACAAAAATATGACCAAACTACAAATTATGGACTTTCTTAGATTCATCTGAGATTTGAGCTCACAGGGCAAAGTTCCACTCCCCAAATGTTGACAGGTGAATACATAGTATCACACTCGAGACCTGCTTGTTAGGAACAAAAGCTGTTTGAACCACAAATTGGTATGAACCCTTAAATGGTAATTGATGAATTGTTGCAGGCCGAGTGTGGACTAGCTCAAAAGCTAAAAACTTCCAGGGCCTCAGGCTTAGGAGGTGCCAGCCCGCCCCCCTCCAGTTTTCATGGGTTTTTGACCCCCAGGGCCCACCACATTCTTATGGTGAAGATTGGAGAAAAATCTTGTGTTTTCACACAGAGGAGAATATAGTTAACACTATTGAACTCTATAACTGTGGTCATATATGGATGTGGGAGTTGAACTGTAAAGAAAGCTGAGTGCCGAAGAACTGATGCTTTTGAACTGTGGTGTTGGAGAAGACTTTTTGAGAGTCCCTTGGACTGCAAGGAGATCCAACCAGTCCATCCTAAAGGAAATCAGTCCTGGGTGTTCATTGGAAGGACTGATGTTGAAGCTGAAACTCCCAATACTTTGGTCACCTGATGTGAAGAGCTGACTCGTTGGAAAAGACTCTGATGCTGGGAAAGATTGAGGGCAGGAGGAGAAGGGGACGACAGAGGATGAGATGGTTGGATGGCATCACTGACTCAATGGACATGTGTTTGGGTGAACTCCGGGAGTTGGTGATGGACAGGGAGGCCTGGCGTGCTGCAGTTCATGGGGTCACAAAGAGTTGGACATGACTGAGCAACTGAACTGAGCTGGTTGAACTTTATACATAAAAATAAATAAAAGGGCAACTTTTATTTATTTTTTGCAAGAACTAGAATTGTTGTTGATTTTTTTAAAAATGGGCTGTCAAACCATGAAAAGACATGAAAGAACTTAAAGTACATATTGCCAGATGAAAGAAAAGATTACATACTATATGATTGCAACTATATGATGTTCTAGAAAAGGTAAAACTATGAGGGCAGTAAAAAGATCAGTAACTGCCAAGGCTTCAGAGGGACAAAGGGATGAATAACTGAAGCGTAGGAATTTTATGGCAATGAAACTATTCTGAATGATATTGTAATGTAGTTGCTTATTATTATACATTTGTCAAACCCATATACAACAAAGAGTGAGCTCTAATGTAAGCTATGGATTTTAACTAATGAAGTGAAGTGAAAGTCTTTCAGTCATGTCCAACTGTTTGTGACCCCATAGACTATACAGTCCCTGGAATTCTCCAGGCCAGAATACTGGAGCAGGTTGTCATTTCCTCCTCCAGGGGATCTTCCCAGCCCAGGGATTGCACCCAGGTCTTCCACATTGCAGGCAAATCCTTTACCAGCTGAGCCACAAGGGGAAGCCCCTTATTATTTTAACTTTTTATATATCTTATGTTTTTATTTTAACTGATAACAACATATTAAAATTGACCCATCTATCATAACAAATGTACTACACTAATGTAAGATGTTAACAATAGGGGAAAATTGGGGAAGAGAGGTATATGGGACTTCTTTGTACCTGCTGCTTATTTTTCTTTAAACCTAAAACTAATCTTAAAAAAAGAAAGATACACATCCTTTTCCAATACCATGTAATTCCTAATTACTAGTATGTATTTTCACAGCAAATAATTGCCAAGTAAACCACGGGTATCTTTTCTAATTTGCCTGCATTAAGAGTTTCAATGAATGACACAGATAAAAGCTATGATTGTATTGTGAACAACTGTGTGTTTTTGCTTCTAGTCTTGCCTCCTAAAATACATTTAATTACTTCTAGCAAAGAACATAAACACTTAAGTTCTCTAACATTTTAAGCATACCTTCACCACAGGGCCTTTGCAATGGCTGTTCCCTATTCCTGAAACAGTTTCCCCTAGATAACTGCAGGACTCACTTGTTTACTTCCTTTATGTCTTTATTGAAATGACCTTCTCAGTGAGACCTTCCCAGACCATCTTATTTAAAATTCCAACTACCTTCCCCATGCTAATTTTTTTTCTATAGCACTCATCACTTTTTAATATTAGAAAACTTTTAAATTTTCATCTCACACATGACATGCTTTTGGTGTGTTTATTTTGTACCCTGCAACTTTTTTGGATTCATTTATTACATCTAACAGGTTTATTGGGGGAGGGAGTATATGTTTAGGGTTTTCTGTAAACCCTGTAAGAGCATGTTATATATGAAAGGAGATAGTTTTACTTCTTCCTTTCTAATTTGGATGCTTTTTATTTCCTTTTCTTGCCTAATTGCTTTGGCTAAGACATCTAATACAATGTTGAATAAAAGTGGTAAGAATGGGCATCCTTGTCTTGTTCCTGATTTTAGAGGTAAAGCTTTCAGCTTTTTACTGTTGAGTATGATGTTAATTGTAGGACTGTCCTATTAGACCTTTATTATATTAAGGTACATTTCCTCTGTACCCTCTTTGTTCAGTTTTTAGCATTAATGGATGTTGAATTTTTATTAAATGCTTTTTTTGCATCTTTTGATCATATGATCTTTATCCTTAATTTTGTTAGTGTAGTATATACCACATTGATTGATTGTGAGTGTTGGGTCATCTTTGCATTCCTAGGATAAATCCTACTTGATCATGGTGTTTACTCTGTTTAATGTTTTGTTGAATTCAGTTTGCTAATGTTTTCTTAAGGATTTTTACATCAATGTTCATCATCAATGTGGGCCTATAATTTTCTATTTTCTTATTGTTGAGTTTTAAGAATCTTTTAGAATATATTTTGAATACCAGTCCTTTGATAGATATGTATTTTGCAAATGTTTTTTCCCAGTTCATGGTTTGTTATTTCATTCTCTTAACAGTGTCTTTTACAGAACAGACATGTTAAATTACACTCTATACTTAATTCTATCTCTTTTTCCTTTGGTATCCAATTTTCTCATTTCCACTTTTGTTATTCATATAGCAAGCATTTAAGTATGTTTCAACTTCATTCTTCTAACGGAGTATGTATTTAGAATGTAATTGGATTAAATAAATTCTCCCTTTGGACTGTACTTTTTTAGTATAAGGGAAAACATTCTCTATCCTGAAAATTCTCTGCGGCATTTATTCTCCAAAAAATGATCCTCAGAGAAGAGAGGGAACTGGAATTTGCTTTGTGCTTCTTTTTTATTTGCCAGCATCAGGCTATTGAACTTTGTATACTTTATTATTTAATCATGATGGTAGTTGTTGTTTATGATACTATACTTTTGTTTCTGTCCTAAGTTGATAACTGACACTTCCATCTCAAAAATTTCTACCATTTCTTAAAACTTTAGTTCTCCTAATGATGTTAAGAACTGAGAGAATACACTGCCTCCAGATATTTTTCTCAATGCTTTGATTCACAGACCAAAAGAAGCAAACACAAAAAAGTAATAGCAATAAAGTAAAACCCCTTCTTTAAAGTAAGGAGGGGAAAAAAAAACATGTATAGGGTAAACTGTCTATATTTTTCAGAGGTGAAACTTTTTATAGTCAAATTAAATAATAAAAGTATTTAATTTTAACTCTTAAGATGATGCTTTTGTTCACAGTTTTAATTTTTGTTAGGTGTCCTGCCTAAAAACTGTAAATATTGCAAGAGATGTGGGCTTCTGAACAGGTTGCAGTTTGATCTTTCAGGCAATAATATTACAACATCCAAGTTCACTACTTCCACATACATGTTTTGGGAGAATCTTATTTTTAAGTTTATCTTAACTTTCTGCTTTTTGAGAACACAGAGGAACAGAGCCTACTAAAACTTGATTTTGGAAAGTTCCATATGTTTCCTTTTTTTTTTTTTTAAGATCTCAACCTCCTTTCCTCTCTCCCTTCTTGCCACCTAAAAATATTTTCTTTATTTTTTATGGTTAAATTTTAACTTTTATTAAAGCTTAGTTTCTTATTTGGGAACTTTGATTTTGTTAATTTAGATATGATTTTCCTAATCACATTCAGGTCTGGTGTTTATATTTCATATTTGTTTTCATTTTTCCACACTGAATGCCTGTGTTTTCTATAGTGAAAATAGCCAATATAATCAGCTAGGGGAATGGCTTTTAGGTGGCTCCAGAAGGCAGTAGTGGAATAACCTTAGCTTGCTATTTGTTCTGGTGTAATGACCTAAGCATCCTCTTGCCTTTCTGATGCCATCCTAAAATTCACTTAGGGCCTTGGAGAAATGGTGGATCAAATACTTAAGTGTTCCTTAGTTATTTAGTTAAGTCGCTCAGTCATGTCTGACTCTTTGTGGCCCCATGGACTGTAGCCCACTAGGCTTCTCCGTCCATGGGATTCTCCAGGCAAGAATACTGAAGTGGGTTGCCACTTAGCAGAGTATTATTTTGTAACTGCTGTAAGTGTACACTGCTTCAATTCATGTGTCTTTTTTCTACCTCTCTCCCCTTCTCCCCCCTACAGTCACGAGAGAAGAAAGGAAAAGAAGCAAATACAGGTTTTGGTGGGCCAGTTGTTAGTTCTCTGTATCACGAAGAAATCATCAGGTAAATTCTCTTCTTGTCTTTAATAATAGGAGTATATGCATATATGTGTATGTGCATATATATGTGTGTGTTCATTTAATCCTTAAAACTTTCATTTGAAGAACTCTTTTTTAACGTGAAACTGATTTGGTGGTATCTCTAGAAGGATAATAAATGGCAGGAAATAAATTTTTCTGTGTATAATTTAAAAAATCTATGTCTGATTCAGTTTCAAAGAATAACCTTTCTCCCACATAAGTAGTTCATAGGGCAAGGTTTTGTGTCTCAGATCTAAAGCTATGGATTTTGGTTGTTGTTCTTACTAGTTTTCCTCAAAATATCATTATTTGTTTTGAATACTTTAATTTTTTTTTTATAGGCAGGTTTTTTTTTTATTGTCGTAAACACATACATAAAAATTTACCATTAATTTTTAAGCATAGTTCATTGGTATTAAATTCAAACATAACATTGTACAACCATTGCCACCACTGATTTACATAAATCTTTTTATCTTGTAAAATTGAAATTCTGTACCAATTCAACTCCCCATTCCTCCATCCTTGTGTCCAACTCTTTGTTACCCCATGCAGCATGTCAGGCTCCTCGGTCCTCCACTATCTCCTGTAGTTTGCTCAGATTCATGTCCATTGAGTTGGTGATGCTATCTAACCATCTCATACTCTGCAGTCACCTTCTCCTTTATTTTTTTTTTTTCCATTTATTTTTATTACTTGGAGGCTAATTACTTTACATCATTGCAGTGGTTTTTGTCATACATTGAAATGAATTAGCCATGGAATACTTTAATTTTTGTAGTTTATTTACTATAGTTTCAAGTTAAAAATCATTTTGGAGTGTAAAATGGCACACTATGGAGAACAGTAGGGAGGTTCCTCAGAAAATTAAACAAAGAATTATCATATGATCCAGCAATTGTTTCTGGTTCTGTAGCCACAAGGATTGAAAGCTGAATTTCAAAGATATGTTTGTATACCCATGTTCACAGCAGCACTGTTCACAATAGCAGAAGGAAGAAGGCACCTAAGTTAAGTGTCCATTGATGATGAATGTATACACAAAATGTGGTATTACATATAATGGAATATTATTCAGCCTTAAAAAGGAAGGAAAATCTGACACATGCTAGAACATGGATGAACCTTGAGGTCACTCTGCTAAGTGAAATAAGCCAGTCACAAAAGGATAAATACTGTATGATTCCACTATATGAGGTATCATGAGAGGTCAAATTCATAGAATCATGGTTGTCAGGAGTTGGAGGGTTTCAAAAATGTGGAGTTGTTTATTAAATGGGTGTAGAGTTTTAGTTTTACAAGATAAAAAAACTTCTGGACACTGGTTGCACAACCATGTGAATACACTTAACACTGCTAAGCTGTACACTTAGAGATGGTAAAGATGATAAATTTATGCTATGTATTTTTTACCAAAATTTGAACATTTTTAAAGGTCATTTTGTATTATTTAACAAAGGTTTCGAATTTTATATGTTATATATGAAATTTCTTGGACAATCATTTTCTTTAAACACTGTGTAAATCAAGAAAAGGATTTGGTCCTGCTTTGAAGCAGGTGACATATTCTCCTAAGATCGTTGCTTTACTTGCAAAAACATGAAATTGAAACTTCTGATGCTCTTACCCTTTCTGCATTATCTGAACTTTACTTTTCTTACTGTTAACATGAAATAAATGAGTTGAAATTTTCACATGGAAATTGAGTTCGCCTAAATTGAAGGGAAATATCTATCTTCAGAGAATGAAGAGGAAATTGTACCAAAATTTGATGCTTCACTCTTTCAGAAGAGTTGTTGACTTGACTCACCACATAAAGAAGTAACGATAAGAATTCCCAGGTAGCATACTAGAAGGAAAGCTATTGATACCCCTATGAATCAGAAACTTTAAATGCTCATCATTCTGGTTAATGACCAGATTCAAAACTAGCGGTCCTGTCTTGAATCTATTTGCATAGCAAGCATGTTGTTTTTACTTAGACTAAATGTTTGTTTGGGATGAGATAGTGGAAGCCTGATGGAGATTTGAGGGGGATAAAGAAAACCTTTTAAGAACGCTACTGACCTGAAGTACATTTGCCACCATGATTCCTTTAAGGTACTGTGAGGACACTGAGAAGCCCTACAGTTTTGAGGAAGCACAGCTGAAGAAAACATTTTCAGAGTTTAACTCCTTCTTCCCTTAACACTTATAGGTTCAGAACGTGTTTTGGGGGTTCTTAATTTGTATATTCTGTACTTAGAGCTTCTAAAAAAATAGGATATTAGAAGCTTAACCCTACTAATCAAAGTTTATTAAATGTTTAAATTAAGCCAGTAAATCCTTAAGAGTCATTTTTCTAGGAGGGATGGTTAGTCATTCTTTCTCTATGTGAGCATAGTCTTTTGTTCATACCTTTGTTGTAGCATTTGTGACATTATGCCGCACTGGATTATTATACTTTTTTTTTTGGCTTTTTTTTCCATTTATTTTTATTAGTTGGAAGCTAATTACTTTTACAGTATTGTAGTGGTTTTTGTCATACATTGACATGAATCAGCCAGGGATCCACATGTGTTCCCCATCCCGATTCCCCCCTCCCACCTCCCTCTCCACCCAATCCCTCTGGGTTTTCCCAGTGCACCAGGCCCGAGCACTTGTCTCATGCATCCAACCTGGGCTGATGATCTGTTTCACCATAGATAATATACATGTTTCGATGCTGTTCTCTCGAAACATCCTACCCTCGCCTTCTCCCACAGAGTCCAAATGTCTGTTCTGTACACCTGTGGATTATTATACTTTTTAAAAATTTATCCTTTCTGCTGGACTTTTAGTCTTTGGAGAGCACACATCATATTTTATCCATCTGGGTATTCTCAGTAACTGGGGAAGTTCCAAAAACTTAGTAGGTACAGAGTAAAAGTGTCCAGAGCTTGGGAAGTATCCACAGCTACTTCCCCCACAGAGCTGAGAGTTTGGTGACTGTACTCGCACCCATCATAAAGTGCAGAGTTGCTGGTTTGGTTTCCTGTGACATGCCCATCCTCACCTCTTCTTCTAAAGAAATGTACAGGCCACTTTCCTAGTTAGATAATTAAATGGATATCATTTGTAAACTTTGTTTTGTTTTTTTTTTGTTAAATCACTATATTTAACTTTCTAATACTATCAATCACTTATCTATAAATAGTGATTTTTATTTTGTATACGGATTTCCTTAAGGGCTCCCAGACGCTAGTATTTTTCAAAATGACGCATTGAACAGTTTCTTTCATAATATCTAGTGACATGACTGATCACAGTAGCTCTGCAGAACAGGAAGCAAATCAAATGTACTCCAATTGATCTGAGAGTAGATATCTGGGTAATTAGAATATTCCTAAGATAGAGTTAAACTGAACTGGAAAAGTTAGCCTATCCTCTATCTAATTCCTACAGAAGTGACTCTTAGATTTAAGTCAGTATTTAGAATTTTGATCATGAGAAGCAATGATAAGATAGTGTAGCTTTATTTTCAAGAAGTAGAAACTTTAATTCAACTCAGCCCACATCTATTATATGAGTCTAAATGAGACAAAACATTGTTGGTATTTGTGCTGCTTAACTTCTTCATTTTTGAATAGTATGTTTTTGGTAATTTTGGCATCTACATGTGAGTATGTTTAATAAACCTTATTGATTAATTGAGTGAAATGTGAACCTCTGTTATTGGCAAAACTTTTACTCTGGCCTTATTTCATTGTTATCTAAGTATTAGTCTTTTTATGATAGGATCTAAATCTTTGTATTCTGGAACATATTGTTAAGATAGGAAACAGTAAGGAATATGAGTGTGAGAGAGCCATCAAAAGCCTTCCTTTTAATTATAAACAGTAATTTTGTTACCACTACAGCAGATCCGAAATCACAGCAACTAGTCATATTCTTATTTTAGGGAATTTATCCTGTAATGTAACAGAATTCCAGTATAACAAAATAGATTATGATAAAAACTACTGTGTACTAAAACGTTGGGTTACTCCATTAAAGGACTATAGAGTGGTCCCTATTGTTTCTTCAGTATAAGAATGCAGTTGCTTTCTTTGATTTCTTTCATCAGTGTTTTATAGTTTGCTATATGTAGGTCTTTTGTTTCTTTAGGTAGACTTATTCCTAAGTGTTTTATTCTTTTCATCACAATGGTGAATGGAATTGTCTCCTTGATTTTCTTTCTGTTTTCTCATTGTAAGTGTATAGGAATGCAAGGAATTTCTGTATATTAATGTTATATCCTGTAACTTTATTCATTGATTAGCTATAGTAATTTTCTGGGTTCAGGGTTTTCTATGTAGAGGATCATGTCATCTGCAAACAGTGAGGGTTTTACTTCTTTTCCAATCTGGATTCCTTTTCTTTCTTTTTCTCCTCTGGTTGCTGTTGCTAAAACTTCCAAAACTATGTTGAATAGTAGCGGTGAGAGTGGGCACCCGCATCTTGTTCCTGACTGTAGGGGATATGCTTTCAATTTTTTGCCATTGAGGATAATGTTTGCTGTGGGTTTATCATATAGGGCTTTTATTATGTTGAGGTATGTTCCTTCTATGCCTGCTTTCTGGAGGGTTTTTATCATAAATGGATGTTGAATTTTGTCAAAGGCTTTCTCTGCATCCATTGAGATAATCATATGGTTTTTATCTTTCAATTTGTTAATGTGGTGTATCCTTGTGTCCCTGGGATAATCCTTGCATCCCTGGGATAAAGCCCACTTGGTCATGATGTATGACCTTTTTAATATGTTGTTGGATTCTGTTTGCTAGAATTTTGTTGAGGATTTTTGCATCTATGTTCACCAGTGATAATGACCTGTAGTTTTCTTTTTTTATGGCATCTTTGTCTTACACTGTTTGTGGGAATGCAAACTAGTACAGCCACTATGGAGAACAGTGTGGAGATTCCTTAAAAAACTGGAAACAGAACTGCCATATGACCCAGCGATCCCACTGTTGGGCATACACATCA